GAAGTTTTCGCACTGAAAGAGAAGTGATCTCGCACCCATAGAACTTAAGATGTGCCAGGCTTTATCTGCAGCTAAGCTGAATAAAAAGCAGAATGAACTGAAACGTTAAGACAATAAACACAATAAATAAATACAATTTATGAATGATGCAGTGCTAATTGACATATCATTTATTACAGTACAGAAACTATAAAGTATGCTTTCTACCTTGTTCTGAGCAGAAAATTGAAATAATTGTTTGTGAATGAGAAATGTGTTTTAACAATGTTGTTAAACCGAATGTACGAAGGAAACCGTTAAAATAACCACAGCTTTAACAACAACCTTGAAATAAGAGCGCAAGGTTTATCTGATAATCAGATGCATGAAAATAGCATTCGTTGCTATAGCAAACAGACATCAGGCGAGTTTTCTTTCAGAATCATCATTTGCCGATGGAGAGGAAAAGTTAAATAATATAGCATTTTATTTTATGAAAATGAGATAAAGAAGTTTTCGCAAAGACAATAAACACAATAAATAAATACAATTTATGAATGATGCAGTGCTAATTGACATATCATTTATTACAGTACAGAAACTATAAAGTATGCTATATTTTCTACATTATTCTGTGCAGAAAATTGAAAATTGCCATTTTTTTTCTGGACTCCTTTTTAATGGTTAAATTAAATTGTATTAATCAAAAAGCATGTCTAATTAATCAAAATCATGAAACTTAAACAATTTAACATCAATTTATTAAAAGTTTAACAAAAATTACATGTTTAGGGCCCTATGAAATGTTTTATTTTTTCCAACCTTATGTTTTATTGTTACCAAATTCTGAATTAGCATGTCTAATTATTTGAAAGCATAAAAACAAGTTTCATTTATTCTTACAATACCCTTATGATTTTTTTGCTCAGAAATATTCATTTAATCTATCTTTTAAGTAAGGAAAATTAAATTAAATTTTTGGGAAAATAAAGGTCATTTAATATTACAATTAAAACATTGAAGAAATATTGCATGATTATTCTCAGAGACCGAAATGACATGCCGTCATGTAAATAAGATTAATAACGTAAGGCTATTTAGTTTGTTTAATAAAAGAACAAGGTACAGACCTGTTATATCGGAAAGGTAACTTTAAATGACTTCTGTTGTGATCTGGCGCTATAGAGAAAATAAAATTAAATAAAATTAACTTGACCTTCAAGGGGGGCGGGCCCCTAATATAATGGCAGGGGAAACACTGAAATCTAAACAGATTTTCAAACACTAGGCATCATCCACTTACAGATTTTGTAAATGGCTCTAGAGGAAAACTTGGCATCCTACAATAAGCCATTGAGGATCACACTAGGGCTGTGCGATATGGACAAAAAAAACCTGTCGCGACTTCTTTGATCAATTTTGCGATTTCGATTTTAATCACGATTTTGACACACACAGACATATGTTCTCATTTAGTGAGACGGCAGACGCTAAAATCACCGGAAGCGTCACACGCGCTTCAGTACAAGTGGTAAACAAAACAAAAAAAGACACGAAGAATTCATATTTAAATATTAAGTCGTTTTGCGGCTTAATATTTACAAATACTAGTGGGAGTGGGAGTGTGCTCAACTTGTGTGTGCACGCACGTGTGTGTGTGTGTGTGTGTGTGCGCGTTTTTGTGGCAAATGATGACATACATTTGTATAATGACAAGGGTATGACATAGGTATTACAAGGAGAAGGTGACTTTTCAGGACATTACCCCATGTCCCCACTTTTCAAAACGCATATAAATCACACAGAATGGAGTGTATTGAAAATCTGAAATAGCACAAAGTTTCCTGTGAGGGGTAGGTTTAGGGGTAGGGTTGGTGTAGGGCAATAGAATATACGGTCTGTACAGTATAAAAAACATTACGCCTATGGGATGTCCCCACTTTTCACAAAAACAAACCTGTGTGTGTGTGTGTGTGGACATGTTTTTCTATCCCGGTGGGGACTTAAACCTGAATACACACAGACTCATGGGGACTCGTGTCACGGTGGGGACCTAAATTG